TTTTTGGCTGGCCGGACTTGAATGCCGGCCGTAGCCGTGCCGGCCTTCTTTTTGCCGGTTGGCCGGCCCATGCACGGCCGGTTTTGCCGGCCGGCCGGCCATTTTTGTTTTTATCAAATTTTTAATTATATACATTACATTAGAATTTAGATTTATGTTATAAATTAGAATTTAATATCTCATAGTTATAATTTAGAAATTGTTAAAGTATAAATTATAACTAGTTATCTTATAGAATTTTATTATTATTATGTTAGAACTCATTAATTATTATGTTATATAACATAATACTAATTATCTCTAATAAAATACTAATGAGTGATGCTATTAAAAATTGTAGTTCTCTTTTTTTCTTAAATCCGCTCATTTTCAACTCGGTAATAAATTTTAAAATACAAAATAATATTTTGACTTAAATTTGAAATTCATAAATACCAATTTAAATAACAAATTGAACGAAAAATATCAGATTTTGTTAGAGTAATTCATTGAGACCGATTAATTCAATATGATTTAACCGAATTTTATGACAAAAGATTTTTTGACACTTTTCTCAGAGTTATATTATTCATGTGAATATTATAGTAGGAAAAGCGTTCTAACAAAATAGTAATAAATTCTAATTTATAATAGTAATAATCTATACCATAATAATTTCTAATTTCTAACATAGTAGTACTATATATTATTTCATAAGACTATCAATTCTAAACTATATCATAATAATATCCAACTTCTAACATAATAGTAATAAATTATAATTTATAACATAATCAGTTTTAATCTATAATACAATAATTTATAACCTCTAACAAAATAGCAATAAATTCTAATTCATAAGACAATAAATTCTAATCTATAATAGAATAATTTCTAACTTCTAACATATTAGTAATAAATTCTAAGATAATCAATTCTAATATATAACATAATAATTTATACTAATATATTTTTTCAAACAAGTATCATTTCTGATTTATAATAATATAATTTATACTAATTAAACTAATATCATTTTTTTACTGTATATGTTGTTAGTTCATTTTATCCTAAAACAAGTGCATAACAAACATAACCCAAAATTAACGTATAAACACAATTGAATATCATAATATATCAAGTTAGAAATATATTTTAGTATTTTGTGTCGATGTAGTTGTGATTTTTGTTTTTCTAGGCCAGGATTACCCTGTTGGGGTCGGTTCTAGGCAGTCTGATGACGGTTGTCTGTTGACTGTCCTCCCACTTTTATTCAGTTTTTGACTGCTTGTATTCAGTCTTTGGCTGCTTGTATTCAGTCGTTGACTGATTTTCTGCACATTTGTGCGTATTTATATATTACCTCTATCGTTTCGAAAAAAAAAATCGCATCACTCATTAGTATTTTATTAGAGATAATTAGTATTATGTTATATAACATAATAATTTATGAGTTCTAACATAATAATAATAAAATTCTATAAAATAATTAGTTATAATTTATACTTTAACAATTTCTAAATTCTAACTATGAGATATTAAATTCTAATTTATAACATAAATCTAAATTCTAATATAAAAAAAAAAATTGGCCGGCCGGCCGGCAAAACCGGCCGTGCATGGGCCGACCAACCGACAAAAAGAAGGCCGACACGGCTACGGCCGGCATTCGAGGCCAGCCGACCCAAAAAAAAATTACTTTTGTCCGGTTTGACCGGTCGGCCGACGCATGACCGGTCTTGTTGGAAAGCATTTTTTCACCGGAATTATTCAGAGGTGTTTTCAGAATTTTTCGAGGCTCGATTTGGCTGGTAAATAGTTATAAAGAGGGACATTCCTTCTTTTTTAAAAAAATAAATAAAGGGCAAATTTATCTTTTAGGGGGCGGTAAATATCGAAAAGGGGGCGGTATTTAGCGTTTCAGTGAAGGTATCCGAGAAAATTAGATAAATGTCATATGACTTGGCTACAAAAGCTGCAGATGATATTTTTATTTTTCATTCTTGCATTGCTTCCATGTGGAGATTTTCCCCGATTTCTCTAACCTAGCTTTTCGCCTATGCTCCCCCATTTTTCGATTGAGAGCCTTCCCCCGCCGGCATCGGGTATTCCGACGGTGGCCAGCGTCAGACTGCGCGGTCCTCCTCCCGTTTTGTGTTGGAGCCTTTACTTCGCGGCGTTTGAAGAGGATGGCGTCCCAGGCATTGTTATTGAACTATATTTGCAAATACATAATTTTATTAATTAGTTAATAACTTACTAAAATTATTGTTATTGAACTATATTTCCCGTGCATTTCCCGGGTTTAATACTAGTTATAGAGATACACTGAATTAATATTTTAACAAACATTTCACCTAACTCTACCTGGTGAATAATTTGAATTTCAAAATTGTTTTCCACACAAGAATAATTAACTTTCAAGATCACAAAACTTGAGAACTTTCAAAAACAAAATCATAAATTATCAAGTAACTTTCAAAAACAGAATCATAAATTATCAAGAATAATTATCAAGAATGGGTTTTCATAGGCTTTTTGTCAAATGGATTCTTGCCTGTTTTCATCTACTTCTTTTTCTTTCAACATTAATGGTGGTGTTAAAGGGTTTATCACTGCATCTCGAGGTATTAGGCAGGGGGATCCATTATCCCCCTACATGTTCATCCTTGTGGCTGAGATTTTCTCTAAGTTGTTGTTTAATGAAGAAAGGAAAGTCAATTTTAAAGGGCTTAAAATTTCTAGAAATGGGCCTCCTTTATCTCATCTGCTGTTTACTGATGATTCCTTGGTTATGTGTGTTGTTGTTCCTCATCATGCCACTATGTAAGTATAGGCGGTTCACTGGCCAGAGGGTCAATCTGGGGAAATCATCCATCTTTTTCAATCGAAATTGTTCCCCTCATCTCAAAGTTGATATTTGCAATCAGTTGATGGGAATCCAAACTCAATGCTCCACAAGATACCTAGGGCTTCCCCTAGGCATTGGAAAATCCAAAAAGGAGGTTTTTGACTACATCATCAAAGTTGTCAGATCCAAAACTGATTAACTGGAAGAATAACATCCTCTCTACTGCTTGCAAGGAGGTTCTCATTAAGGCAGTCTTAGATGCAATGCCAGTGTTCTCTATGTCCTGCTTTTGCTTGCCTAAATCTGTTTGCAGATTGATTGCTGGGCTATGTGCTACTTTTTGGTGGAGCAAGGGTAAAGATCTCTCTGGTGGCATGCATTGGAAAGCCTGGAAATATGTTACTATCCCCAAAGAATCTTGAGGCTTGGGAGTTAAGGATCTTATGCTTTTTAATAACTCACTCATCCTCAAATAGATTTGGAGAATCCTCTCCAAACCTAATTTCTAGTCAGTAAGGTCCTTAAAGCCAGGTATTTTCCTTACTCTTCCATTATTAAAGCTCAGAAACCTTCAACCTCTTCTTGGTTATGGTCCAGTTGGTTGGCTGTCAGAGATAAATACATCCTCTGCTTTAGAACTGATATTAAAGATGGGACCACTAGCAGAATATGGTTGGACCCTTGGGTTCCCTCACTTAGAACTGGAATTCTTTCTCTTAAGCCTGGGATAAGCAATGATTTGGTTGGTGTTCACCAATTGCTGGAAACTAGAGGCAGAAGATGGAATTTTGACCTCTTGAATTCCTTATTTGATCAACAGTCTCTGAATGCTATTCTTGAAATCAAAACTTTGGACCCTGGGGCAAAAGACAGGCGGAAGTGGAACATAGACACTAAAGGGGTGTTCACAGTAGCAGGCACTTACTCACATCTCATAAAGCAAAAAGTTCTATCTCTTGATGTTGCAGAGGGTAGTCTTTCAGCATGTCAGGACAAAGCTGCCAGAAAGAGGAGTTGGGGCATGAAGATCAAGAACAAGTTGAAACATTTCTTATGGAAGTGCTATAGCAACACCCTACCCACAAGTCAGAACCTGTGGAGAAGAGGGATGCCCATTGATCCCTTGTGTCAAAATTGTGGTGAAGAATTGGAAACAGTTGAGCACATTCTTCTGCTTTGCCCTCTAGCCAAAAGAATTTGGAGTTTGGCCCCTGTGACTTGGGATGGAATCTCTTGTGAATCCCACAGCTTCAAAAACTGGTGGTGGAAGGTTTGTTCTTTGGACAGATCCACAACATCACAAGATAGAATTCAACTCTCCACTTGTCTGTTGTGGTGGTTGTAGAAGTCTAGAAACATTTGGAAATTCCAAAACACCTTTATGCCTGAAATTGAGGTCATTAAAGCAGCCTTATTATGTTGGGTTGGAGCATTTTGCTTGCTGGGTTGGAGCATTTTGCACTCTCTTTTTAATTGATCCTTCTTATTATGTTCTTTGAGGTTCTGCTATAGGTCTCAGCTTCTGATGGCTGCCTCTAGCTTTGGATATATGAATGCATCATTTGATAAGTAGTAGGTTGTGTTTGTCTGTTCTTTGTTTTAGTTAGGGCACCTTGCAGTGTGTTCCTCCTGGTTTGTATAGGGATTAGTACATCCCTCAGATTTGTAAGGCATTATATTTTTTCTATGAGCAATCTATCTATCGTTGTTGAAAAAAAAAAAAAGTAACCATTAGAGGAAAACACTATTCAATAATCTCAAGTCCATTTTAAAATGTTAACTTTCAAGATCACAAAACTTGAAAGCTTAAAAAAACAAAATAATAAATTATTAAGTAACACTTACAGGAAAATACTATTGAATAGTCTCAAGTCCATTTTACAATGAGAAATCATTTTCAAACGATATATAAATTGTGTATCAATGTCAGACCTATCCCAGTTTTCCATTCCTACTTCACATCAGATTTCAACCAACTTATGTACAAGGTACGAAAAGGCGGATTACTTATGTACAAGGTGTTGTGGACACCTAAAATAATCAATAATGCATGCTATAAAAAGAAAATCTACACATGTAAAAAAGTACTCTGCAAACACAATAAGAAATATTCACCCAGCATAAAGAACAATAATATAATATTTTCAGCATGTTAAATCTGCATCTAATCGTAGTAAGTTCCCCGTTCGAGTGGTCCAAAGAAGCAATGGTTCTCACGGGCTGCCCTCGGAAATGAAGAATTGAGTGCTGCAATGAGTCTCCATGCAATTGAACGATTGAGGCGGGTTGAATTCTGATCTCTCCCCTTGCAAATGAACGATCGGTCGTTGTTCCTGTAGCACTGACTGGATGGGGATCAGATCGACATCTCGTTTAACGATCTCTTGTCGACCGATCCCCTCCTATTTATGTTGAACGGCCTCAGCCTCTCTAACAGGCTGACAAGCCAAACTCCTCAATTGCAAAATTCCAGTACACATTTGATTCCTAGCCAAACTTCAAAGTTTGATTAATAATGAAAACACAAAAAAAAAAA